CAGCCCCGAGATCAATGGCCACATGGCGTCGGCGGACATACAGTGCGCCTTCTACCAGATGCAGTTGCCCTCGGACCTTGCCCGCGCTTTCACTCTACCGCGCGTGGCTAATCGGGTTCTTCGCTTGGAGGGCGTGGGGCCCGACATCGACGTGGTGCCTGAGATTTTGGTCGTGCCGATGGGGTGGAACTGGGCTTTGCACTTCTGCCAGGACGCATTGTGCAACATCATCGCGAGGGGCGCGGCGGTAGGGGAGCCGCTTCGTCGTCGATGGCGCTTCCCCCGCTGTGCTGCAGCTCCCCGACGACTGGGCGGTCGCGGCCCATGTCGACAACTTCTGTGTGGTCGCGGGCTCCCAAGGGCTTGCCAGCCGCAAGTTGCGGCTCATCTCGGACGCGGTCTCTCGTCGCGGCCTTCCCGTTCCTGAGGCCCAGGAAGCGCGGACCTCTATGATCTTCACGGGCCTCGAGTTCGACGGAGCGAAGGGGGCCATGAGGGTGCCCTGCGCTCGCCTCGCCCGTCTGCGATTGGGCATCCGTTCTGTGCTGCGTCACCGAAAGATTTCTCCTCGTGCTCTATCTACGTTGGTCGGACATATCACTTGGGCTATGCTGAGCAGGCGAGACGCGTTGTCCATGATGTCCGCCACTTTTGCTTTTGCGAGGAGTCGGTCCTCTGAGCCTATCAAGCTTTGGGGCGGGGTCCTCAGAGAACTCCAGTGGGTTGGTTCAGGCTACGCTGCCATTGTGGGCTACGTCTTGGCGTCTTCCCTGGGCCTCCGACGTCGCGGCGTCCGAGTCGTCGGGGTATGGGATTGGGGTCTGCCGTCGCAAGCCCCCCGTGCCCGTCGTCGCCGAGATCGGTCGACTTGCCGAGAAGGTCAGGAACAGGCTCACAGACGCCATCGTCGCTCGTCGCCATGCCCTCGCTGGAGCCCCAGAGGATCCAGGCGGTGTCGAGCCCCCCCTCTCCTGGCGAAGGTATTGGTCACAGCAAGAACCCGAAGGAGTGCCCCATCAAGCCACATCCCGAGGGTCCGGTGGGTCATGTTGGGTCTCGGGGCTTGGACGACATCGCCAACTTTGAAGTCCGTGAACGCTGGCGCGGGGCTCCCTGGCTTTACCGAAGTGCCCCGAGAGATCCTGAAGGAACCCGGCTGGAAGGTTGCCCACTCTAGCAGGGTCCGTGTGCTTGGGAAGAACATCTTAGAGTCTGAGGGTGACGCTCTGGAGTTCGCTCTTCGGCACCTCCTGCGTTCAGGGCCCTTGCAGGGGCACCGCCTCCTCCTCCTCGTGGACAATTTGGCTCTGGCTCTCAGTGCAGGCAAAGGCCGAGGTCGCGCGGCCAACCTGACCAGACCCTTGCGCCGAATCACGTCGCTATTGCTGGCTACGGGGTGCAGGGCGCACGTGCGCTGGGTCCCGTCCGAGTTCAACCCGTCGGGCGCCCCGTCGCGGTCGGGCTTCTTCACGGGGCCGCAGTGGCCTGGTGGTCGTGCCAGTGGAGACGGTCTGCCGACGGCGGGCTCGCGCGAGCCGCCCGCCCTGCGCCAGGGCGCAGGCTCGCCCGACGCTGGCCCCACGGGCGTCGGCCTCGGAGCAGGGCCGCGGGGGCCCGGGCGTTCTGGGGGTGACGGCACTCACCGACTACACCGCCGCGAGCTACCTGACGCACGCCCCGAGGCTGGTTACCTGGAGCCTGTGGATGGTCCTGGCCTGGTTGACGGCCCACAAGCTCGACGTGACCTTGACGGTCTTCCTGCCGCTCCTGGTCTTAGACGGCCCCGGCGCGGCGAAGGCGTGGGTCACGTTGGCGGCCATTCGCCACTTGCTGCCCGCGCTGGGACCTCCTCGCTCTTCACTCCCAATGGCCTGCCAGGCTCTGGTGAGTTGGAAGGAGCTGGAGCCGCCGTGCCTGAGGTTGCCGATCCAGCGCATTGCAGCGATGGCGATCGTGGACGTGATGATCTCGCTCTGCCAGATGCCGTTCGCGATGTTTGTCCTCCTCACCCTTGGGGCGTACCTGCGACGGTGGGAGGCCCTTCGGCTTCGTGGCGTCGCGCTCGTGGCTCCCATACCCCTGGTGTCGAGGCGGTCTCTCCCCGTGGGGCTGGATCGAGGCCGATGGATCTCCGGCGCCTCCCTCCGACCGTATGCGGAAAGGACGCGGCACCAGCAGCAGGACAACAGCATCTCGCCCGTGCGGATCGAGTTCGGTCGGTGGGTGGGCTCGTACCTCGTGGCGCTGATCCTGATCGCCGCGCTGGGTCCGCTGTTCCCGTGTCGCGGCCCCGTGCAGGGGGCCAGCGCGTCGCGCGGCCAAGTGAGGCCATCTCTGACGACCGAGTAGACGGCTATCTGGCCCGCCAGTTGGCTGCCGCCTTTTCTGCCGCCCAGGTGCGGCCTCGCTCGATGTTCATCGGTCTCAGTGCCTCCTCTTGGCCGATTGTTCGGCGCTGGCGTGCGCTGGGTTTTGCAAGCATCTGTCTCGATCCGAGTAGGCATCAGGCTTTTGACTGGTCCCGACCCGCGGTGCGCCAGAGGATCATCGGATGGCTTCGGGGGTCCGTGGTCTTGGGTGTCTGGGCCTCTCCTGCCTCGGGTCCTGGGCCCCCCTCCCCTCGCCCTCGGGCCTTGTGGGGTTCGCCTGCCAGCTTGATCCTCGAGTGCCATCGGCAAGGGTCCCTTTAATTGTTGAGTGCTGCCGCAGGTCTCCGCCCCCGCCCCTTGTTTCTTTCAGACACGCGCGCTCGCTGGCCTCGCAGAGTGCTGAACTGGACTTCTGTCAGCACGGAGGGGCCAGCGTCCGTCCGACAAAACTTTGGGCGCGGGCGGCCAAGTTTCCCGGTCTCAGCGTTCGGCCTCCGTGTAAAGCTCGCGGCAATAGATGCTCTGGCAAGTGTCGGTTTCATGCCAAACCTGCTGTCTGTGTGAACAAATACCCACGTCAATTTAGCCAGTGGGGGGCCACCTGGCTCGTGTCTTGTGCGAATAATCTCCGCGATGCAAAACTCAGTGGGCTTGCTCTGAAATTGCATTAAATGCTTGCGGCCTTTGGCCAGGGGTTGCAAGTATGCCAAGTACAACTCGCATCTGATGTTGGCTGCTGCTCTGTCTGTCTCGAGGCCCCTGCTCTGACGGCGAGACTGTCGCCCTCGACCCCAGGCAGCAAAGATGGTCTCTGGCACGCTGAGGGTAACCAGATCATCATCATCATCATCATCATCATTGTCACCGTCATCGCCCCTTTCCATCATCCTCGTAATGCATCATCATCGTCGTCATCATCATTATTATCATTATCATCATCACCATCATCACCATCACCATCAACAGCATCATCATCATCATCGCCATCACCATACCATCATCACGACCACGGCAATCATCACCACCACCATCATGACCATCACCACCACTACCATCATCATCACAACAACCACCACCATCCTCACCATATCATCATCACCATAATACCCACCACCGACATCTTACGCACCACCAGCTTCAGCACCAGATTATCATGACCATCCTCCCCAACATTGTCATCACCATCTGCACCATCACAACCACCACCATAATCACCATCACCACCGCCATCATTACCACCGCCACCATCATCATCTCCACCGCCTTTATCAGCACCAGTATCATCGGCATCGCCATCATCATCATCATCATCTTCACCATCTTAGTCGTCATCATCTCACCTCCATCATTATCACCAACATTTCATCGCTATTGGCATCATCTCTATCATCCTCACCATCCTCACCTCCAGATATAATCATCACACCCGTCGCCACCATCATCAGCGTCTGCATCATCATCAAGCTCATCGTCATCACCAGCATCGTCACCATCAACATCATCACCACAATCAGCATCTTCACCATCACTATCATCATCAGCATCATCAGCATCACCATCATCACCATAACCACCATGATCACCACCATCATTACTATACGCATAACCATTGTAATCGCCAGCATCACCATCATCATCACCACCATCTTCATCATCATCAGCACCAACACCATCACCACCGCCAGCATCATTATCATCATCAGCATCATGATCATCATTTTCACTGCCATCACCATCACCATCATCAGCAGTTTCACCGACACCAAAACCGTCATCACCACCATCATCGCAGTCATCATCATCACTTGAGCCACCATCACCATCACCATCATCGTGATCATCACCGCCATCACCATCATGACCATCACAATCATCAGCATCATCACCAGCACCACCATCATCATCACCATCAACCTCATGACCACCATCACCACCATCATCATTGTCGTTACCATTATCATCAGTACAATCGTTGTCAGCACCACTATCACTACCATTATCATCATCACCACCATCACCATCACCACCACCATCATCATCATAGCCACAACCACTATCAACATCATCATGATCTCACCATTATCATAATCAGCATCAGCACCATCGTCAGCATCATCATCACCTCCATCATCATCACATCCATCATCATTATCATCACTACCATCATCATCATCTTCATCAACATCATCATCACCATCGTCAGCAGCAGTACCATCACCATCATCCGTTGCCATGTTGGCTCGGCTCAAGTGGATGAGCGATCCTGCGGCTGTCGCCGCATGTGCGCGCCGTTGCGCTGCTCAGCCTTGACTTCGGAAGCCTATCGATCGAGGCCGAGTCTGCGCTCTCCCCGGAGTTGTGTCCATCTTTGCGATGGCCATCGGCATCACGTTGCATTGGATGGTGCTGGCGCACTTCTGGCTGCTGCTCGCTGCGCTGGTGGTTCTTGCTGCCTCTCTCTCGTGCTCGGCTACTACTTCCTAGTCTGCGACCCGGGTGGCCCTCGCGCCATCGCGCTCTACGACGCGCTGTTTGGCTCGGCGTCTCGCCCCGCTGTGTCCGACCTGCTGCCCGGGATTTCCATCGAATTCGATTGCGCCCTCTTCGACGACGTCGCCCGCGACTTAGACGATGGCGCGGGCGGCTCCCACGACGGGTGCGCCCCCAAGTACGAGGGCCAACCTACCTCGCTCGACGTCAACTGCGACGGCACCTACGACAAGCTCGACGACGACTCCGGCGACTTCGACGACCATGCCGACATGCCCGCAGAACGCGGCCGCGAATGACATCCGCATGGACAACACCGACCCATTTCGTTCCAGATGGATCGGTTCGGGCGCTCCGCACACCCGGGTGCAGAAGTTGGGCTCCGAGCGCATGCATTGGGGCGCTGCGAAATGCGACTCAGAGGGCATGAACAAGTACAAGGGCAAGTACAACCACATCCACTTGGATGTCACGAACTACTTGTGAATGGCCGTCTCGTTTCGACATCCACTACGCCCAGTTCTGAGCTGGACCTCGCCGTTGCGGCATAGTGCGAGAGCTGGTCGACGCGGTACCTCCCTCCCTCTCCTCCTCTTCCCCCTGTCTGCTTTATCGGCGCCCTTATCATCATCGCCATCATCATCATCATCATCATCATCATCATCATCATCATCATCATCATCATAATAATCATCATCATCATCATTATCATCATCATCATCATCATCGTTATCATCAGCATCATCATCATCATCATCATCATCATCATCATCATCATCATCATCATCATCATCATCATCATCGTTATCATCATTATCATCATCATCATCATCATCATCATCATCATCTTCGTCATCAGTCACCAACAGCACCATCGTCCATCGTTGCCATCACCTCCACCATCATCTTCCTTGTTAGTATCACCATCGATACATCGTCGCTACGAAAGGTTTGCCCGTTTCTTGCTTCTGCCAAGACAAGTCTGAGGGGGGCGCAATTGCAAATTCGAGCTGAAGAAGTGCCGACCTCTATTTTCGAGGAAGTCTTGGGCGGGAGCGCCATTTCGAAATAGAGCCAGAAGGGTGTCGAATTCCAGTTTTCAGGAAGTCCTGGGCGGGAGTGTCATTTCGAAATCGAAACTGAAAAGGCTCGGAGTTCTGTTTCGAAGGAAGTCTGAGGCGGGAGCGCTATTTCAAAATCGATCCAGAAAGATTTCGAATTCTAGTTTTGGGGAAGTCGTGGGCGAGAGCGCCATTTCGAAATCGAGCCCGAAAGTTTCTGAATCTTTCGAAATTGATGTCTTGAGACAGTCTCAAGCGAAACCGTCGTTTCGAAATACCACACCGTTCGGCATTAAACACCTTTCAAGTTCTGCTTAGAGATTTCGAGAGTATGGTTTTCGCTTGGGACCTCCTCCCAAAAAACGATGTCGCCAGGATTTCGAACCATCGGGTTCGAATTCGAAAGGGCGATTCCGCCCGAGACTTGAGCAAAACAATGCTTGAACAGAACATTGTACTGGGGCCCCGCGGCCGAACAGGCCCCTTTGACGTCTCTTTCCTCGTCGCAGGCGCTGCATTTTGGCCGATCCTTCGTAGCGGTGAGGTATCACCGTAATCATCATCACCACCATCGTGCTAGCATGTTGTCTGGCACTGCGATCTCCCAGCGCCATTCCTCTTCTCCCCCGTCCTCTCGTCTCTCTCTCTCTCTCTCGCCTCCCTCTCCTCCTTACCCTCCGTATACATTCTCTTTCCCCCCGTTCCCCTTCCCCGCCCCCCTCGCTTCCATTGTCGGTCGTGTTGTGGCTCCGTCTGCTACCTTCTTCTCCTTCCCCCAGCCCAGATGCATGCATCATACCTTTGCTCCCTCTTTCAGTCTTCTCCCCCCCTCCTCCATCTCCCTCCTTTCTCACATTTTGTCCTCTTTTGCCGTCGTCGTCGTCCGCCCCGTCTTCCCTTGTGCTGCAGATGCCAGTTGTTTTGATTCGACGCCATGCGCCGCAAGTCCAGCCTGGCCCCAGTCCAGCACAGTCAAGGCCCATCGACTGCGCACTTATCCGCAATTCCAAGCTGTTTCGGTATGTTGTGCTTCGTTCTTGTTGTTGTTGTTGCTGATGCTGTGAAATGCCATGGGTGCAGGTAGGCTTGATTTCGCAGAGTTAAAGCGCCTGGCAATAGTCGTGGCCAATGGTGACCTTCATAGGTTCGCCGCTCTGACGGCCTGTTCGCAGTTTCGCTGTCATGCGGGTTGTGGACGTCTTTGGGAGGCCCTCCCCGCACACCGATTCAAGTTTGCATCCGTGATTATTCGTCAGCAGGTTGCCGTCGAAGCCGCGGACCCCGGTATTGGCAACGATGTATCGGGCATTTCTGTGCGCGGGCCAACTCGAGGCACGCGAGCATTTGCAGCTTGCCCTTTGTCTGTCTTTGAAGCTCATCTTCAGGCAGCAGGGCGCCCTTGCTCGCCCCTCGCGATTTCGATCGTTCACGTGCGCTCGGAGCGCCGCAAACAGGAGACACACCAGAAGCAATGTTGCAGCCTCGTTTGTTTGCATACCTATCACCGCCAGAGCAGAGAAGTGGCACAAGCCAGGTTCGGGATCTCTGAGCTTCAACGTGAAGGCCAGCTTCTGCGACTTCCTGGCGTGCCTTTCCGCGTGTATCATATCCGCGCCGGCGAACCAGGTCTTCAATGCTCACGCCTGTCGTCGTACCTCCGCCCCCCACCCGAGAGTTCTGGCTGTGACGCTCGGAGCCCGTCGGGACGGTGCTGCCTGCCCAGCGCCGAGGCAATCCAACCACATAGTCTTGGTGTGAAGGGGGAGGACGCACAAGGGACGATGCGCGGTGGAGCGAGATGTGAACAGCGGGGCCCGTGTGCGATCATGCACGCTGTCTGCGATCAGGCAGGGAAAACACACACAGACACACATCATCGTCGACTCCCATCAAAGTATGGGAAAGTATTGGGAGTGGGGGGGAAGACGAAAATCCCAAAAATCGGAGGGTGGGGGGTGTGAACGAAAGTGACCCCAAACGGGAAATCGGTTTCGGTTTCGGGAGAGTTATCGTTTCTGCCTAAAACGGTTGAGGGAGAGGGAGTGGGAGAGAGAATGGGAGACAGAGAGAGAGAGAGAGAACAAGAGCGAGAAGGAGAGACAACAACAGCAACAAAAACAACCAACAAGCACAACGCACAACGCAGACAGACAGGGTGAATGGCACGCGATACAGAAACGTTGAAACAGGGTGTCGTTCAGGCCCCCCTCTGCCGCCGCATCCTCCGTCCTTCTGCCTTCCGGCCGAGGCGGGGAGAGGTGGGGGCCAGACCCCCCCTCCTTCCTTTGAAGAAGGGGGTGAGGGTGGGGATGGAAAGATGGGTGCGGGAACGAGGGAAGGAAGATGAGGATGAGCATGATGCTGCTGATGGTGAGGACGATGGTGATGACGATTTGGATGATGAATGTGCTGCTGATGATGATGGTGGTGGCGATAATGATGATTGTGCTGATGGTGATGATGCTGAGAATGATATGGGTGGTGCTGTTGATGATGAGAATGCTGCTGATGAAGAGGGTGGTGGTGATGGTGATGGTGATGTGATGATGCTGTGGGGGAGGAGGAGAAGGAGGAGAAGGAGGAAAGGGAGGAGGAGGATACGGAGGAACAGGATGATGATGATGATGATGATGATGATGATGATGATGATGATGATGATGATGATGATGATGATGATGATGATGATGATGATGATGATGATGATGATGATGATGATGAGGATGAGGATGAGGAGAGATGAGGATGAGGATGAGGAGGAGGAGGAGGAGGAGGAGGATGAAGAGGAGGAGGAGGAAGAGGATGAGGGTGAATAAGGACCAGGGAGGACCGAGGAGGGAGTGCAAGAGATGAGGAGGACGAGGATGGGGGATTGAGGAGGAGGAGGAGGAGGATGAGGAGGAGGAAGAGGAGAAGGGGGAAGAAGTGGAACAGGTGGAGGAAGAGCAGGAGCAATGGGAGGAGGAGGAGGAGGAGGAGGAGGAGGAGAAGGAACAGGAAAAGGAGAAAGGGGAGGAGGAGGAGGAGGAGGAGGAGGAGGAGGAGGAGGAGGAGGAAGAGGAAAGGGAGGTGGAGTTGGGAGGTGGGGGTGGAGGAGGCCTCCGTCGTCGGGGGCTGTCCGACTTCTTGGCGACGACGCCGTCCGCCAGCAGGACAGCCCCGCTCCTCCCACACGTTGGGCGCGCCCAGTGCGGTGGCGGAAGGGAAGGAGGGATGGAGAAGATGGATGATGCTGCGGATGAGAAGAAGAACGTTGAGGGTGGAGAAGAGCGGTGAGTTTGCAGGAGGAGGATGAGGATACTGATTGATGCTTGGGGGGGATGAGGAGGAGGAGGAGTAGGAGGAGGAAGAGGAGGATGAGGAGGAGGAGGAGGAGACGGAGAGGGAAGGAGGAACAGGAGGACGATGCTGATGATGATGAGGAGGAGGAGGAGGACGAGGAGGAGGAGGAGGAGGAGAAGGAAGACACATGCAAACCCAAGAGTCATCAACGATGTTGGAATACATCCTCCCTCCAAACCCCCTTTTCATATGCCCCTGCAGCGGATCAGTTCCACCGGGGGAACTGCATCGTTGGAAGACAATCGTTTGAAGACCCTGACGCATGCCAAAACATTGTTCTCGGGAGTCCAACGCCACGAATCAACTCGATTGTTGCGTCTTGACGATCCAGAATCGCGCTAGAACGCCATTCCTGCGATTTCAAAACCGCGAATCAATGTAACTGCTGCACCCTCACACCATTTCTAGTACTCTGGGCATGGGAGTCCGTGAAGTTCTTGCAGATTCGTGCAACGAATGTGCGCGGCGCCAAGGCGAGAGCACCATTGTGCAAAGGAGCTGCCTTCAATCCGTTAAACGTTTGCAAATGTTTGCAACAAGTGAGCGCGGCGCTAAGGCGAGAACCACAGTTTGAAAATGGGTCGCCCTCAATACGTGAAACTCTTGCGAACATCTGCAACCAATGTTCGCGGCGCTAAGGCGAGAGCCACATTTGAAAACGGGTCGCCCTCAATCCGTGAAGCTCTTGTCTTTTTGAAAACGAATGTGCGCGGCGCTAAGGCGAGAGCCACATTTTGAAAACCCGCCCGCCCTCCATATGTGAAGCTGTTGCCGTGTTTTGAGGCTTCAGGGTCATAAGTGGTGACGAAGTCTCTGGCGAAACGGCCAGCCCGCCCTGAAAACTGGCCTCGGGGTGCGACAGGGAAAAGTTATGTATAAGGAACGAGAATGGAGGAAGAGCAGGAGGAGGAGGATGTGGAGGAGGAGGACAACGACGAGGAGGCGTAGGAGGAGAGAGAACACGGAGGAGGATGAGGAGGAGCAGCAGCAGCAGGGGGAGGAGGAGGGCGAGGATGAAGAGGATGAGGATGAGGATAAGGACGAGGATGAGGATGAGGAGGATGATAAGGAAGAGGATGAGGACGAGGAGGATGAGAAGGAAGAGGAGGAGGAGGAGGAGGAGGAGGAGGAGGAGGAGGAGGAGGGGGAGGAAGAGGAGGAGGAGGAGGAGGAGGAGGAGGAGATAGACGATGACCACGAGCAAGGGAAGGAGGAGGACGAGGAGGACGAGGAGGAGGAGAAGGAGGAGGAGAAGGAGAAGGAGGAGGAGGAGCGAGGTTTCGGGCGAGATGGATAATGATGATGATGAGGAGGAGGAGGAGTGGGAGGAGGAGGAGGCAGAGGAGGAGGGGAAGGCGGGTAAGGACGGAGAGGCACATGAGTAGAATGAAGACCAGTAGTGGAGGGATGTGCAAGAGAGCGAGACGGGGCAGGAGAAGGAGAAGTTCCATGAGGATAAGGATAAGGATCATCAGCAGGAGGAGGCCATAGGAATAGACGAAGAACCTCGTAGGATGAGCAGGAGCAGGGGGAGGACGAGGAAGAGGAGGCGGAGGAGGAGGCGCAGGACGAGGAAGACGAGGAGGAAGAGAGGAGGAGGAGGAGGAGGACGAGCAGCAGGAGGAGGAGGAGCAGAAAAAGGATGAAAAGGAGGAGCAGCATGATGACCAGGAGATAGGAATAGAAATATGAAAGGGAGCTGTAGCGGCCTAGGTAAGTGCTGGAGGATGCTGGCTGGAATGCGGCAGCTCACCCCATCTAGCCTCTGCGCGCCTGGTCCCATCGACGAAGCTCGTTCGGTGTCCAACCCTGAGCCGTTTGGATTGACGAGGCCTCAGGGGGCGACACATGGCGCGTTCCAGACAAGCCTTCGCTTTCGGCGCACCCTCGCCCTTGGCGGAAGCCGGCGAACGGCCAGCGCAAGCTGGCGGAAGCAAAACGGCGGCGCGTCCGCCAGCGGAAGGCTGGCGGAAGGTGGCGGAAGCAAAAGCGAGTTTTCACGACATGTGCGGACCCAGGGATCCCAGGATCGGTCATATAACACTGTAGGCACGACAAAGCGAGGCGGCCCCGACACCGCAGCCCATGTGGCTTGCAGGTCGTCGGCGCCAGCCCCCAAACCCATCTACGGAGTCTCGGGCACGTTCCCTCGTCTGCCGGGGAAAGCCCGCGCCAGAACAACAGAGTCGGGCATGTGGTCCCAAAGGACAGAAATAAAGGAGGCGGTGGAGGAGGGGCCCGCTTCGATCAGTGGGGCGGAGGAGGGCACGAGGCGGTGGAGGAGGCGGCGGAGGAGGGCGGCGAGACGCAGACATGGATGAAGGCGCGTGGATCAGCGACGGTCCCCACTTCCGTACAGGGTCGTCGCGCTCCGTCGCCAACTCAGGTGGCATTGCCGTCATGTTCCGCGGCCGCGCTCCAGATCCACGGATCCGCAGTCCATGTTCGCGTGTGTCTGACCGCTGCGTGCCCAACTCGTGGCGGCGGGGGCTCCAAGGTTCAGGGAAGTGCCCAGTGTCGGCCCCGCTTCGAAAATGAATCGCCATCCGGCAGTGGATCCGGGGTGAAAAACTGCACCAGATCGACCTGGAGACGGGTCCGGGTACCGATTTTGAAGGTATGTGGCCTTACGCCCCATCTTGACAGATTTCCTCGGGGCCCACTGAGCTCCGACCCCCTGGCCACCTCCAACTGTGAATCGGAGTTTTCTCAGACGCAAGGTTCAGGTCAGTAGCGTACCTTCCTCAGCGAACTCAAGCCGAACCAGAAAATAGGCTGCGGAACGGGAGACAGGATTCCCTTTGGTCAGCGAGTGAAGAACGGTATAAAATAAACTTTTTCGCTGTCGGGGGCGCCTGTCCCTGGGCGGCTGGAAAGTTTATAACCCTACGGTGCCACCGTAAGGTATAAACTTTCCAGCCGCCCTGGGACAGGCGCCCCCGACAGCGAAAACGTTTATTTTATACCGTTCTTCGCCCGTTAATTTGGCTTCGCAGCTGCTTGCAGACATAGAACTGCTTCTGACGGAATTCGCCAACAAAAAAAGCTGGCCCCCCTGCCCCATGGGGAGCCGGCCAGCCACGGCGGGGACGGAGGAGAAGGAGAAAGTGGCGGTCCAGAGGCAGGACTCTGAGATCCGAGGCAGCCGCACATCTGCAGCATCGCGGAGACTGCCGGCCAGAGCCTCACACCCCACGTTTCTGCCCCATGTTCCAAGCCGGATCGATCTGTGGGGGTGCTGGGTCTCGGGCGGTGCTGGGACGAGGGTGAGTCCGTTCCAGGGCGTGCCGGAACACTGTCGAAGCGTTCGGGAGCGCTCTGAGAAGGCCGCGGTGCCTTGTACATCCCTCAGAACTGCAGGATCTCGGAGGTGTCCGATGTATCCTGGTCTGAATGTAGCCTCGGCCTGCTCGACGACATGCAGACGCCAGGATCTCCAGCTCCAGGCCCTCCTCCTCCTCCTCCTCCTCCTCCTCCCCCTCCTCCTCCTCCTCCTCCTCCTCCTCCTCCTCCTCCTCCTCCTCCTCCTCCTCCTCCTCCTCCTCCTCCCTCCAGGCAGGGCCCCCCCGAGAGCGCGGGGGCATGGCGAGCCGCCCCCCCCAAGAGGCCCCGCGCTCCCCGCGCTGCACCGGGCAGGCCCTGCCGCTCGGGGCCGTCCCCAGGGGGGAGCCCCTCTCCGTGGGGGTTCACCTCAGGAGGTCTTTATTTTCCTCCTCCACAGCTTCGCACCCCTCCCCCCTCTGTTTCTCTCGGCGGGGAGCAAACTCGCCCCTCCTCCTGCTCCTCCTCCTGCTCCTCCCCCTTCTCCTCCCCCCCTCCTCCTCCTGCTCCTCCTTCTGCTCCTCCTCGTGGTCGTTACCGTAGTCGTCGTCGTCGCCGTCGTCCCTGAGATTCTGGCGTTGAACATTTTTCACACCTGGCGTTTTCGCCCGCTGTTGGGCCCTGGGGCCGTCTGAGATCGATCCGGCTTGAAAAATGACGCAGAAAGATTGGGTCCAGGGCTCCGGCCGTGATTTGTTGCGATGTTTTTGTCAACAGGGCGTTTTCGCCCGCTGTTGAAGGTTTCCAGGACCATCTGATCTCGATCCGGCTAAAAAAAAATTCAGTAGGCAGATGGGGTCCAGGGCTCCGGTCGTGATTTGTTGCGATGTTGCATTCTTTGTCATATCCTAATGATGGGGCTCTTGTTATTACTCCGACTGCGCCGACTCCTTCCACCTCCTCCTCCTCGTCCTCACCCAGAGTCGCACTCAGGTTCGCTACTTAAGTTATGTCTTTCCATTTCCTGTGGATGTGGTTCTTGTTAATCCTCAATCCCAGAAGGATGGGGTCCTTGTTATTCCCCATATCCACAGGATGGGGTTCTTGTCATTACTCAGACCGCGCCGAGGACACCTCCACCTCCTCTTCCTCACTCAGAGTTACCCAGATGGCTCCTCTTCCTTCTCAAGGTTGAAATGTTATACTGTTTTATGCTATGATGTGCTATGGCATGTTATGCTATATTATGATATGCTACGTTATGGTATCATATGGCATATTCTGATGTGTTCTGAAATGTAATGGTATGAGCTGTTCCCCATATGATGCTGATGGTGATGATGATGATGATGATGATGATGATGATGATGATGATGATGATGGAAGTGGTGGTGATGATGATGATTGTAATCATGATAATCATGGTGATGACGATGGTGATGATGACGATGGTGGTGGTTGGGATGATGATGATGATGATGACGATGGTGGTGGTTGGGATGATAATGATAATGGGATGTCCCGAGCAAGGCGCGGGTTTCAGCACCTACAAGGTGGAGCCGCCGGGGGATATTGCACTCCTCCGTTCGCGCCAAATTGGCGGGAATGTCTCGAGCGGTTTACCTGTTTGCCAGCGCAGCATCCCCTGCTTTCGGAGCAGATGTTGAGGATGCCTCGAGCGAGGCGCTGGTTTTCGCACCCCAGGGGGACCAGATCTGGACAATGTCTCGATCGGTTTTCTTGTTTCTTAGTGGCCAGATTCGTCTGCGTTCAGCATATATTGTGAGGATGTCTCAGGTGAGGCGTTGGTTTCAACACCCCAAGGGGCCCAGAGGGCGAGGATGTCTCATTTTCACTCATGATCAAAATCATTCGTGCTCAGACCCACTCGTACTCAGACTCGTACTCATCATACTCATACCCAGACTCACTCACACTCAGACTTACGCACACTCAAGGTCACTCGCATTTAGACCCATCCACCCTCATAATCACTGAGACCCACTCGGGCTTATACTCATCATATTCATACTCGCTCACAATCAGACTTACACACACTCATAATCACTCACAGTCGGACCCGCGCACCCTCATATTCACTCGTAGTCGGACTCACGGTCAGGTCCACAGTCAGATTCACTCTCGCTCTGACTTACTCATACTCAGACTTACGCATTCTCAGACCCACTCGTACTCAGACCCCCTCATAACTAGATTGCTGACACTAACGCTCAACCATGCCCGGGTTCACTCGCATTCAGACTCGCTCATACTCAGATCACCCCTGGTCAGATTCACTCAGTATTGTCTCCTTTGGTGGTCCAATGCCCCCTGGCTCTTCCACTGGTGCTTCCCGCATCTCTCCTGGAAGATGCCCAGAGAGGGAGGACGTCACTGAATTCGTCGCTGTCGCCGTCATTGTTGTCGCGCCCGTCGCCCACGCTGACTCGCTTTCACACTGAGGTGCTCACAGACAGAGTTCTTCAGCGAGACGTGAGAGGCGTATAAGATGCACATCTGGGCAGCTCCACGCAGTGAATACTTACTCTGGCCGCACCGACTCCTCCTCACACCTCACCTTCCCCCTCCTCCTCTTCATCACGCAGAATCACATTAAGGGTCAGTGAAGGGAACAGTGGTGATGACGACGACGACGACGACGACGATGATGATGATGATGATGATGATGATGATGATGATGATGATGATGATGATGATGCTTATGATGATGATGATGCTGATGCTGATGCTGATGCTGATGGTGGTGGTGATGCTGCTGATGATGAGGGCAAGGATGACGGTGTTGATGATGCTTGTGACAATGATGCCGATGATGACGATGATGCCGATGACGCTAATGCTGGTGGTGATGATGATGATGATGATGATGATGATGATGATGATGATGATGATGATGATGATGATGATGATGATGATGATGATGATGATGACGGAGCAGATGTTGGGGATGTCTCGGGCGAGGTTTGGCCTCAGCACGCCCAAGGGGGGCCGCCAGAGGGTATTGCACGGGCCCGTTCGCGCCCAGATTGCTGGGATGTCTCGAGCGGTTTGCCTGTTTCACCACCCGATATCCTTTGCTTTCGGAGCAGATTCTGAGAACGTTTCGAGGGAGGCGCTGTGTTTCGCATACCTACGGGGGGGCCGCCAGGGGGTATTGCACAGGCGCGTTCGCCCCCAGATTGCGGGGATGTCTCGAGCGGCTTGCATGTTTCACCACCCGACATCTTCCATTTTCGGTGCAGATGTTGAGGATGTTTCGAGCGAGGCGCTTGTTTTCGCATCCCCAAGGGGAGCCGCCAGAGGGTATCTAACTGCCGCGTTCACGCCCGCTTGTATGCGTGTTCAACATCCTCCGCTGTCGGAGCAGAGTTTGAGGATGTCTCGGGCGAGGCGCGTGTCTTCGCATCCCAGGAAGCCCAGATTGCAAGGATGTTTTGGGTGGTTTGCATGTTTTGGTGGCCAGATTCGCCAGGGTTCATAGCAGATTCTGAGGATGTTTCGGGTGAGGCGCCGGTTTCAGCACTCCAAAGGGCCCAGATTGCGAGGATGTTTCAGATCTACCTATGCTCAAACTCATCTGTGCTCAGATTCGCTCGTCTTCAGACTCGTATTCATCATGCTCATACCGAGACTCACTCACACTCAGACTTCTGTAGGCCCAGACCCACTCACACCTAGACCCACCCACCCTGAGATTCACTCGTAGTTAACCGTGCTCATACTCAGACCCAGTCAGGCTCATATGCATACGCATCATACTCATAGTCAGTTCATATTTGCTTTTATTCAGGATCATTCACACTCAGACCCGCCCACCATCATTTTTTATTTTAGTCAGACTCGCTCGTGCCTGGATCCATTCGGACTCAGATCCTATTCATTATATTCATATTCAGACCCACTCATACACATATTTGCCCACATTCAGACTTACCCTCATTCAAACTCACTCATTTTCAGACTTACGCATTATCAGACCCACTCTTAGTCAGAGTCTCGCATGCGTAAACTAACTTACTCTTACAGTCAACCACACCCGGAGTCATTCACGTTCAGACTCATTTACATTCAGTTCACTCATTCTCATACTCACTCAGCCATCCCTCCTTTAGTGGTCCAATGCCCCCTCGCTCTTCCACTGGTGCTTCCCTCATCTCTCTGGGAAGATGCCCAGCGATGGGGAACGTCTCTGAAGTCGCCGCTGTCGCCGTGGTCTTTGTCGAGCCCGCCGTGCACGATGACTGGCTCTCACACCCAGGTGCTCACACACAGAGTTTTTCAGCAATACGTGAGAAGAGTTTGATATGCACATATGGGGAGCTCCACGCAGTACATACGTTTTGTCCAACGCCCGTTCTCAGGGGTTAGCGGCGCTCACGGGGTGGTGTTGCGAGGCGAGGGGGGTGGCCCCTTCAGGAGGGGAGGGGGCTTGCACGAAGGCAGGGGGCCTCTGAGAAACCAGCCCGCCTTCGAAGAGGCCTTTTTTGAGGTTTCGGAGGTTTTCCAAGAAGGCTACGAAGCCCCCGCCGTCGCAGTAGCCAGCCCCGCTCGCGCCACCCTGGAGTGGACGCCGCCAGAATCGACCAAGTAGACGGTCGCCAAGCGCGTTCGAACACACTGCGCATTTCGACCCTGGCTCCTGCGAGGAAGTCCCCGGCGGAGCGGCTGGCGCTGG